GACTACACGCACTACTCTACTGTATACAGATGCAAGTGAATAGTTTAGCAATGCCGGTGAGCTGGGTAATGATAGAGAATTTCTCTGTCATTCTGCTAGTCTAGTGCATACATGTCAGTATGGGAGACAGTGCTACTGTCCTCACTGCATGACTGTAGCTGATCAGTGATGATGCGTATTCTCATACTGTCTGCCGCTGCAATACTTCAAATCATCAACAGCTCTCATGACAGATCAAAATAATCATCAACAGCTGGCATGACAGGTCAAATATTCAATAGATATCATAACAGATCAAATCATCATCAACAGCTCTTATGACAGATCAAATCTTGGACAGATCACAAGACGTATCAGCTCAGTCATGAGAACACATCTTACCAGCAATGAAGTACATTCTACACGGTCCACGTGGTGCACTGTAAAAACACGTGGTTAGTTGCCCCCTGGTGGTGTTGTTGACAGCCCTGGACTGTCTTACACTAGCGTCTTATCCTTTTATCATTCATTTTTACAGAATACACAACGTGGAAGAATTTGTGTGTACAAATGTGTGAGTGTGTGTGCGCTAGTGTGTGTGCTCGTGTGCGTGTGTGCTCGTGTGTGGATATGCGTGTATATGCGTGTATGTGCTCGTGTGTGTATGCGCGTGTGTGTGTGTGCTCGTATGTGTGTGTGTGGCCGTGTGTACTCGTGTGTGTGTGTGTGTGTGTGTGTGCTCGTGTGTACTCGTGTGTGTGTACGCTCGTGTGTGTGTGTGTGTGTGTGTGTGTGTGTGTGTGTGTGTGCTTGCCGTGTGTGCTTGTGTGTGCGTGTGGGTGCTCGTGTGTGTGTGCTTGTGTGTGTGTGTGAAGCCACTTCAATCAGCTGTGTGGTGGATACCAGGCTAGAAAAGTGTGGCGGTCAATTCATCAGCCTTGGAAGCTGTTGAATGGTGTAATCCCAGCACAAGTTAGTTGCTATGTCTAACATAGCTGTTCGCTATCATCGCTTACGCGATGGGCATGTCTGGGGTCTGAGGTGTGTGTGTGTGTGTGTGTGTGTGTGTGTGTGTGTGTGTGTGTGTGTGTGTGTGTGTGTGTGTGTGTGTACCTAATCCAGGTGGATTGGCTACCCATCGGTTCGATCACGCCCCTTTTCCCGAGCGCCCCCGCAACCCAGTCACTCCGCAGTGCAGCACATGTCACCGGAGTTTCAAGTCCAGCAGCGGCTTGGCCAGACACAAGTGCGTCCGCACGAACCGAAGGACAGTGTCGGAAAGGGCCGATTTCCTGTTTGAGTGCCCTTGCCAAAGGAAGTTCCGACTGCGTCACCATCTAGTAGGCCATCAGGAGTGCTGCTCCCCAGCCTCTTCCACCCCTCTACCCTGACGGGGACTGGTGTAACTTATCAAGGCAACGTGTATCAAGGTCAAGGTGTGTGCGTGTGTGTGTGTGTATGTGTGTGTGTGTGTATGTGTGTGTGTGTATGTGTGTGTGTGTGTATGTGTATGTGTTTGTGTGTGTGTATGTGTGTGTGTGTGTGTGTGTGTGTGTGTGTGTGTGCCCCCTTGCAAAGACCCTTGGTGGGCCTGAGGACATTGGTCACATCTTACGGGAACGGCGATTGCGCTGGCTTGGACACGTGGCACGGATGGAAGATCACCTTCTCTTCGGTGAACTGCCTGCCCCGCGCCCCGCGCATTGTCCACGCAAGAGGTGGAGGGACGTCATTTTGGATGACTTTGCGTCGGTTGAGCCACCGGTACCAACATGTGGATGGTAAGATGCAGCCCTGAATCGTCCGGTGTGGCGTACCATTCCCCATCGATCACCCAAGGCACCCTCTGTTGCTGGCTACGGTTGCGCCTGCCGCCGCATGTTCCGTCGAAGCGGCGACCTGAAACGCCATCAGTCATTCTGTCGTGGCCTGGAAAAATAACAATGCGCTATAATTGCTACGCAATGGGCAATGTCAAGGCCAAGGTCAAGGTGCGTGTGTTTGTGTTTGTGTTTGTGTGTGTGTATGTGTGTATGTATGTGTATGTGTGTGTATATGTGTGTGTGTGTTTGTGCGTGTGTTCGTGTGTGTACACGCGCGTATGTGTGTGTCACAGTGTATGTATGTGTGTGTGTGTGTATGTGTATGTGTATTTGTTTACTATGATGAGCTAAAGCTAATGAAAATCCAAAATTATTTGTTACAAATACCTCCCACTATCATCGTGGTTGTGTAGTTTGTAAAAATGGATGGTATGCACTCTCCTTGTGACATTTCTTGTTATCGAGGTTCAGTGACGATTTTCCACTGATAATGGTCACAAGAAAACGTTCTGGATTTCAAACGGAATGCTTCAAGTAAGTTGTTCTTTTTGTTCGTGTACATAACGACACAGCTAAGTATTTTTAAGCACTCCTTCTACATGTACGTGTTATTGCTCCATCCTTGCGGTGTTGAGCTTGTGTGTGTGCGTGCGTGTGTGCACACGTGTCTGTGTTTGTGTGTGTGCATGTGGGTGCGTGTGTGTCTGTCCACACACACACACACACACACACACACACACCAGTGGCGTGCACCGAGTCTTGAAAACAGGGTTTCTATAGTTCACACACACACACACCTATTTTGACCTTCTGACACCCATCATCTAAGTCGATGATAGCGATGTTGCAGAAAAAGCCATAGCAACTTGTGCTGGGATTGCGTCATTCAACAGCTTGCAAGGCTTGCAAGGCTGAAGAATTGACCACCACTATTCAGCCTGGTCTACACCACACAGCTATGAAGTGGGCCCCCCCCCCCACACACACATACACCACGCACATATACATAGACACACACATACACACACATGCATGCACACGTGCATATACATGTACGCACACACCCACACATACACACACACACGCACACACACACACATGCATACATCCACGTGCATATACGCACACGTACATATACGCACACACGAACATAGACACACGCACACATAGACACACGCATATACAGAACATGTACGAACACAATAACTATAATAATTTGTATGTGTGTATTATACACACACGTACTTGAAGAATACTCGTCATATAATTCTAATATCATCATGAGATCCCACTAGAGAGGAAACTAGTGAATTGCAAAAAAAACATCTAAACATTACTACACTATTAGCAGATGAAAATATTTGCCAAGAAACCTGCCACCAGTAAAGACATTGCACTATGCACAAGTAAGAACTATGTGAGTGGCAAGGTGATGATGCTATGAATATTAGTTCTCAATAAACATTTTCATCTGTGTTTTCTATTCTCTCATTTCTACTCACTCTATACAAGAAACATTTAAACAAAATTCACTAAACAATCTACAAACATACAAACAGACATACAATGTATATGTACATGTATATGCAAAGAAATGATCACACATATCAACTAAAACCACATCAACAAAAACCAACAATTCAATGACAATAATTCTATCAGCGACAGTCCAGAATTATCGAAAAAAATCAAGGAGCGAAAACATCTATTTACAGGGTCCAAAGTCTAAAGGTCAAAGGTCAACATAGTGATCCCTCAAACTGACTGAAAATGAAGAAAGGAATGTCCATCGGTAACACAAATGTACAGACACACATGCATACACACAACACACACAAGCTCAAGTTTATACATACACACACTTACAAGCACGCACACGCAGCAATACTACCACGCATGCACACATACACACGTGTACTCATAATCACATACACAGACGGACTGTATGCCAGGAAGAAGTGATAGACGAAAACGAAGCTTTCTGCATAAGGACAGAAATCCGTCCATGTCAATCCTCTCACCTCCTCATTCCTCACTCTCACTTTCTCCTTCATCGCTATACTCGTCGTCTTCTTCGTCATTCTCCACTTCGTCGTAATAGCGAAACTGCCGATACTGCAAATTCAGATCATCTCTGGCCATGGCACTTAGAGCATCGCGCAGCCGCGGAGAAACTAGAGCTCTTTCAGGCATCCACAGCTCCTTCAGAGATGAGCACCTCTCGACAGCGGTGGCGAACAGCTTTGCTTCGTCGTCAGCATCTCGGAAATCATTCCTCCCAACTCTGAGCTCGGATAGCTTGAGCAGACTGGGCAGCAGGGACGCAAGCACCGGCAGAGCTCCCGACGAGAGGCAGTCGTCGTCCAGGTACAGCTTCTCTAGGCGTCGGCACTGACTCAGCTCACCACGAATGGTTTCCAGGGAATCTCCAGTTAGCTCATTGCGACGGAGTGAGAGCCACTCCAAACTCTCGTGTTGCTGTTGAATGATTCTACTGACGATCGTAGCCGAGTTCTGCTTCATCCCAACCTTGAGCAGCATCAGCCATCTCAGCCTCAGTGCTCCTAACAATGGTGCTAGCTGGGTTAGACCTTCCATATCCAGTACGCAGTCATTGAGACAGACGTACTGGAGATCTGGGCAGCTGCTGCAGACTGTGGTGATGACGTCAAGGTTGACTGCTGGATCGGTGCACTTTTGACCTCCAAACTCCACTCCCAGCAGTCCTGTACAGCGGTGTATGTTGCTGTGGACGGTGGCCATAGCATTGCTGCTGAACAGGTTCCAGTCTGTGTAGACCATGGTAGACGTGTCGCAGTGTTGACGTGTTGGATGCGATGCACGCTGCGATATGGGCCGTGTGACGATCTGTTAGGTTGTTCCGTAGCAGGTTGATGTACGTAAGATTGCGTAGTAGAGCCATGCCATCAGCCATGCATGCGTACCCAGTATCACCTATACCACAGTTGTACAGGCTGATGCTGGTGATGAACTGGTGGTGGTGAATCATGACTGCGTTGATGGCCTGGCAATCGGAGGGCGAGAGAGGAACCTGGTCGAAATCTACTCCGTACTGCTTGATGATGGCTTGCATGCTGGGGATGTCTTCGATGCTGCTGTGCTTGGTGTTGACGTGCTCGGCGAAGATCCGGAAGGCGTAGAGGATTCGTTGTCTTCGTTCCGCGGCACTGACAGTCGATGCGCCAAGCCAGCTGAGTGGGTCTTTTTATTTTTTTCGCGCGAAAGTTTATGTGGTGAACTGTGTTGGTAAAGATGAAGATGTCAGTCAATGAAATTTGCTATATTTCTTGTGTCTAACTAACCCTGTACGGATCGAACTGACGATGTCCGAGTGCGACAAATGTCCTGAAGTCTGCTCCTATTAGCTAGGTATCTAGAAATTTCAACTTGAGTGTCAAGTGAAGACTTTGCCAGTTTCAGACGAGAGAATTCTCGCTTCACGATTTTCCTGGTGTGTGGAGGTACGTCTGAATGCCGACCCACCACACCCGACATGATGCTTCGGCAGGAATGCAGGTTGGTGCAGATAATTGCCTAATAATATATGTCTAAGCGTGTATACCTTTCCTTTCGTTGCATGCTTGGTTAATCCGACGGCACGAAATTATAGAAATTTCTTTCCAGGTCAAAATTAACTTGAATATTATTTGGTCGTTGTATGTCTTAGTATTCCCTGTCAGTTTGTGGCTTTTTGTCGTACTCGCCGACTGTATAATCTAGCTACATTGGTACATGGTGGACAGTTAGTCATAACTCGTAACATTTTGTCCTTATTCTTTTTATCCATGCCTTACATTGGCTCACCATATTATTTATATATTTTTGATAGGGCAATATGTAATGTACACACACACACACACACACACACACACACACACACACACACACACACACACACACACACACACACACACACACACACACACACACACACACACACACACACACACACACACACACACACACTTGTACTTGTACTTGTTGCTCACTGCCAAAACTGGTCACGTGGGTCTCCCCGGGAGAGAGGAGAGAGACTAAAAAGGAATCTTGGAAAGATGACTCAATTGGCTATTGAACCGCCCAACGGCCGACACACACACACACACACACACACACCATGTACCACCATGTATACGCCCGTCGCAAGAGAAGCACGCAAATCTGCAAATGCACTGGATGTACACCCACAGATGTTCTCTTGTAGAAACGATAGCGAACAATATCTGAATGAGACAGATCAAGACTTGCGCCAGATAACTGTCTAATCCACACAACTGGCGAAGCCATGTGAATCGACCACCAATGCACACCTGATCTACACCACACGGAGTACATCGGTATAAAACGGCCAAGGCAGTTATCCATGCACATCCTACACTTGCTGGGGTAACCAGTATACAGCACGCTGCTTTGATAGAAGCAGACAATAGATGCACTGGTACCTTGAAGTGAACACACACACACACATACACACGCACACACGCACACACCATCACATTACGACAAAATCAAGGCAATGTCGGCGAAGCTCTACCAATTTCTTGTGCCGCGTGCTGGGAGCATAATGGCATTGCCCGATATTAGACCTTGGTGTAAATGGGTTCTCATGTTGTGTACTTGTGAAGTACATAATTGTATTATTCGGTTGCTGGCTATCAATTGTGCTGTGAGCATGGCAGAGTGAGGTCTTCCAGCTTTGTTGGTGTTTGCTCTATCTTGTGTTTACGCTCTGCAGAAAGGATCATATGTAGTGCCTGCTCAGCATTACATCCATTGCGTGGCAGCAATGTGCCATCCTTCCGCGACTTGGGTGGAATGACGCGCAAGTGGTGCTCCAGGGTCAACTTCAATTTGCCGAGCACGTATGCCGCTGGCTTGGGGTCAGCAGTTGGGTGCACAGTCCCTGTATACAAATCATGCACTGTCGTCAACAATATGGCACCCTTGTCCAGCGATTCACGTGCTATAGCGGCAATGACTATATTGGGAAGATCACTCTCGGCACCTTCCGTGCTGTATTGAGAGATGATGCTTCGCAATTGGTGGTCTGTGCTTGGTGCACTGTCGGCAGGGAGCATGTCAATTTGCTTTCGGTAGCAGCATCTACAAAATCGACTCTCGTCTGAAATCCTGACGTTGTGCATGCTACGCAACACATGCTCTGCAAGTTGAAAGTTTGGTGACTTCCACCTGTCCTGTGTTCTGGTGTGAGCCTCGACTTACACCAAGCACATGTTGCATGGCCCACACACTGCTGGTAACTTATGGGCCGGGCACTGAACCGGTTCGCACTGTTCTTTCAGACTGTGCACGTGCAGTTTGTCTGCAGGACAGTGTACGGATGCCGCTGCGCTGCAATCATGTACATTGCATGTACTTTGGCAGACTGGTGGCTTATTTTCTTTCGCTGCTGTGCATACTTGGCGTCGTAGTGCTTTGACGCACTTCCAACAAATGCATTGGCCTGGGCGTTCTCTCACAGACCACACACTGCTGGTAATGGGTCGGGCACAGAACCGGTTCGCACTGTTCTTTCGGACTGTGCACGCGCAGTTTGTCTGCAGGACAGTGTACGGATGCCGCTGCGCTGCAATCATGTACACTGCATATGCTTTGGCTGACTGGTGGCTTATTTTCTTTCGCTGCTGTGCATACTTGGCGTCGTAGTGCTTTGACGCACTTGCAATAAATGCATTGGCCTGACGTGATGGATGTGCATGTGTGTAGCTTTTGCCAATCTGACAGCATTGAGCCATGTGTAAATCGCTTGTCAGATGGCACTTTGGAGCAAATGCTGCATTCTGGGCCACATGGTCGTCAAGTATGCATGCTTGTGGCATTGCTGGGTCTTCCTGCCGCTGACATCTGTGCACACATGCATGGAAATACACGTAAAAACACTAGTTAGAAATCACGTCACCAGAGGCATGCCCTTTTTTCGTCCAGAACATAACTTCCACTCCAATGTCACAAAGACTTACTCTTTCGATACGTCCAGCATAGAAGCAGCGAAATGCCTGGTTAATTCGGTGGCACGAAATTATAGGTCGGGCGACGAAATTTCGACGAAAAAAGGAAAAGAGACAAACCGACGTGCAGCGACACCAAACTACAGAATTTCGCCGTTCTTGAAGAACTCATAACAGAAAAAGGTGAAAGGCGACTACTGAATCCTCGAGTGCGACGACTAACTCAGAGAAAGCGTGAGACTGGCAAGCAGTGTATTTACATGAAACGATCAAATGTTGAGGATGCCTTGAGAAAAGTGCACAAAAAGGGTGCATCTGAAAAATAGAACTCGGTGTTCCGAAGTGATTTTTCAAATCTGGCGCATCGACTGCTGACGTTGTCCTGGGCTGCGTTTGGCTGAGCTGGTTCGTCGTGTGGATGAACTGTAGGCAGATTAGACGTGGGAGTGACGGTGAAGCATCGAATGGCCGATCCAACTCCGACGTTGGTTAGGCAGTCGTGCAGCATCTGTGTACTGGCACTGGGCACGCAATCCGTCCACATGGGTAGCAGTGAACGGACGAAATCCTTGCAGGTGATTTTGGCGACGGTCGGGTCAATTTCTTGACGGACCACTTCAGGAGCAGACAATGCCAGGCCGATCCTGTCGCCTATCAATTCTTCTGCAAGACGCTCCGCATCTTCCAACAAAAGACAGGAGGACACGTGGTCGGCCCAATCCATGATGTGGTCGTGCGTTGTGAAGAGAAAATACGTGACGCTGTGCCCTTCTGCTCCTGTGACGTCCTTGCTGTCGTGGTGTGGCTGAGTGGAGGGTGTGGACTGCGGATTGACAATGGCTTCAATCAGCGCATTGACGGAGTCGCTGTCCAGCTCAGTGGCCAGTAAGCGCCAAAACATGTTGAGGCTGCCCGTGAATGCTCCCAGGCGCTGCACAAGCCAGGCGACATCAGCTGCACTTGGACTGCGGCTAGCGAAGTAGCGAGATGCTAGAGCTTCCTGTAGTGCCAGATGGCTGAAACGCCATTGAGGATGGGCCCGTGACAGTGGCTTGTCACAGGCAATGAGAAGACCAAGTGAACGAGCTGCTGATGATAGTGAAAACATGCTGAAATCAGCCTCCGTGAAGACGACCTTCCGCCGGATGAGCATGTGGAAAGCGAACTTGGCGAGATCAAGGAGGCTGTTCTGGATTCCGTCAGGGACATCATTCAACTTCTCGTATGGTTCAGTCTTCTTCAGGCCTTTCTCCGTCTTTGGTTGGATAGCGTTGAGTATCATGGAGTTGAAGATCTTGCCTAGCGTATCGGGTATGTCTCGATGGTTGGAATAGAGCTGGCATATGCTGGTAGCGTACAGTGGAGTGCGCATGATTGCAGCCAGTTGAGGATTCCTCTTCAGCTTGTCCAGGAGACTGCACGCTTTCTCAGCTGAGAGGACCTTGTGGACGTACTTCTCTAACTCCTTCTGCTCGAAACCCAAGAGCTCGACGCGTCGGTGGAATACAACCTCTGGGTTGTGGATGAGATTCATTGGCTCCGTGGAATGGCGTGACGTTATGATGAGGCGCACACCTGGCAAGCGTTTTCCGGCGATGACATCCTGGACGTACGGGCTGCACTCGTCTAGTTTCGTTTCGTCCAAGCCATCAAGTATGATGCAGACTCTCTCTGGATGGGCTTTCACGTACGCGCAGATCTCAGATTGATCAGTATCCGAGATGATGTCGTGACTCCTCAAAGCCAGAAGCTCAGCAGCACACGTAGCTTGGCGCACGGAAGGCAAGCGGAGTTCAAGGGCGAACACCAGAGCCATCTCTTGCCAAATGCGACCCAGTGCCCAGTCGTAAGGACCTTTCTTGGTAAACAGCAACGTCTTCCCCCCACCAGCGCAAGAGAGGGCAATGGTGCGGAACGTTTCCCTCCCCGGGGCTAGTCTCATGGACTTCTTTGCTTTGAGGATGTTGGCCAGCTTTATTTTGCGCAGTTTCTTTGCAGCTGAAGCAAGGGAGTGTGTGAGCTGCTCAATACCAGCACTGCTGCCTAGCTTGTCAGCATTCAGCTGCTGCACTCTTGCACTAAGCTCTTCAAGTGAGACAACATGCAAGTTTGCGTAGATCTCATCCATGCCCAAACTTCTCACCTCCTCTGTGCTACTGTCCTCGACAAGAGTACGGATATTGGTGTAAATTGCACATAACGAATCACGTAGCTCTCTGACAGCCTTTGGCAGCTCATCCACCCAACATGTTGGCTGTTCTGTTGTCTGAAGTCTGCCCTGGTTTGGTGATGGGCAAGATCTCTTCATGGTAGCCCACAGCTGCTTGAGCAGCCGCAGCTACAGTTGACGGTGACTTACTCTAAACTAGCAGTGATGGGGGTGAGTGTAACAGGTGTGCTAGAACCAGGCGAGTAACCAGCACACATACACGTCTAATCTATAGCTATGGCTGGTGCGCCAATTGTATCATACTCTTCTTCAGTATTATGCTAGGTGTGATACTGTAGACGGTCAGTTGATAATTTCATTCAAACTCTGACAAACACACAGCAGTCTTGCTCTTGCTACTACAACACCACTACCCGTGACTGCACTACTACTACTAGTACTACAGCTGCTGACAATGCTACAGCCAGTAGCTACTATTCTACTGTATGAGTGTGTGCGAGTAGGTTCAACGGTTTCTCCCTTGCTACTGTAACTGTGCTGTTCTATACTGCAACACTCTACAGCACTGTCTACTATAGTGCATTGTGTGTGTGTGTGTGTGTGTGTGTCCCGTTTTCGGAGCTGATCGGTCTTGAGTCATAGACATGTCGACAGTCTCTGACGTCACAAAGGCGTCTCTCTTGTCATTTTACAGAATGCACCTGTCATGATTGACCAGCAGACATTAGACAGCCAACTCAAACTTAGACTACACCTTACACACTGGTTCATTTTATTACAGGGTGCGACAGAGCTCTCGGCCATTGAAGAAAATGTTGAGTCACCTCCACTCCATTGCGCTCTTTAGCCGACTAGACCCTCCTGCACACAACCATAACCATTGCGAGGACACTTCCGTAGACCATATTGATAAACTCCTTCAGACAGCTGTTTCGCTAATACATAGCTCATCAGTGAAGGTAGATGTTGAATGATTAAAAATATAGACCAAACTGCTATTATATAGGGGGTTTCCACATACAAAACTGGCATAGCTGAGGTGATAACGCGGGAAAAAGAAAGTGTGCAGACACTGCAGGCACAAAAACGAGCACTAAATGACGGTTTTCGAAAAAGGGGAACACAGAGCACTAAATAATAATAATAATAATAATAATAATACGAAGTAGTGGTTGCGACTTCGGCGATGATTTGTAAGAAATGGTTTGCTCCCCACACCGGAGCTCGCGCTATTCCGCCGACTTTACTTGACACTTGACTGACTCACGACTGACTCCGGTGTGGGGAGCAAACCATTTCTTACAAATAATAATAATAATATCTTTATTAGGATGACCCAGAGGCTTGTCGCCTATCAAGGGGTTCACCGCTTAAATGATCGCTAAATATTGGACGCTCGGGCACTGTTGTACGAAATAGTGGTAGCGACTTCGGCACATGGTTGTTAGGAAAGGCTTTGCTCCCCACACTGGCTTGAGTAGGCTGGGGAATATTGTGTCTGAAGAGGACCACTTACATAGTGCTCTCCAGCCCAAACATCACCAGGGATACAAACTTACAGCTCGACAAACATCTCGTGACCACCAGATAGCAGCGTGAATAAGTGTCACTCCTGGACCGCGAGAGCAGACGTCGAGGACCACAACCCTGTCACCTCTAAACCAGCTAGTCGCAAGCCTGCGCTTGGCACAACAGTACAGTTGCGACTTCGGCGATGATTGTTAGGAAAGGGTTTGCTCCCCACACTGGAGCTCGCGCTATTCCGCCAACTTGACTTGACACTTGACTGACTCACGACTGCCATCCAAAGCACACGCGAGAAGTCCATCCATCGAACCTTCGACTCTGCAAACCTGCAAGAAATCATCACTTCCTACTGCCTAGCTGAGCAGGGAGTGGTGCTTTCTTGCAGGTTTGCAGAGTCGAAGGTTCGGGCAAGGAAGTGATTACAAGTGGAAGGAAAACGCTGCAGTACAGTTGGAGAGTTCTTAGAAACACACACCGCATTTATTATGTTAAACACTTTGCTGCATAGTTTACTTCGAAGTAGTACAGAAGCCTCCCCCCCCCCCCCCCTCCCCTCAGTTATGGTCCGTATGGAACACACTACAGATTGACAGTAGATCTACTGTCGGCCGTCGAAGATTGAATAGAGTAGAATTTTACCAGGTGTACGATAGTCTACAGAGTATAGTACACGGTGGCTCAACTGCGTACACAGTTCTGCATGAGTAAAAATAAGAAGGGTCTAAGCTACACGGACCCTGAACCCGCAGTTCTTCAACACCACACAGAACTGTAGCCAGTATGATCCGTGTCATTGCTCAGCTCTACCTGTTCAAAACACGCATCATACATTACATACAGTACACAGGTATCACGTGACCATTCTAGTATCACATTGCATGTGTTTGTCATATCAGACCAGATTACTATGTTCAATAACAGTATTCCTGGTGACATGGTGGCTGTCTACATTACGTTTCTCACCTCATTCTTTGGAATTTATTATTATTATTATTATTTATTCACAATCACGTGGCACTAGCCAATGAAATGGTGATGTGGGCAATAGCCAGCCATGGCGGTAATAGAGCTAGAGGGGAGAAAGAAAAAGGATGACAGGGGAACTGCAAAGTAAGAGAAGCGCGGAGAGCTAGGGCAGG